CGGTGTTCTCCAACTGACGTCAGCTCATGCTTAATCCTGTAGCCGATCAGATCACTGGAAACCAACATTTGGGAATAATAATTCTTAGTAAGGACCAGTTATCCAAGAGAAAATTACACTTTACTGCGAATAATTTTCACTGTACATTGATTTGAATGCATGATAACGGCACATTTGGAGGATTATTCAACAACTATCTCAAAGATGTGATTCAATTACTGAAAGACTGTGTTGAAAAAGGGAGATATTTGGCTGATCTTTTGCATCTGATCAATAATAGTGATCGTGTTTTATAAATTCCCTTAAGATATTAATTTGTTTCAATTTCTGATCACTGATTGATCATGACTGATGGTGTTTCCTCGATTGAATGATGAAGTACCTAGACTAGCGCTAGCCACTTCCATTTGTATCTGCCTGTTCTACTGCGCTTGTGGTGGAGCGAGTTATATTGGCTGTGGCTCTAGGAACTTGCCTTTTCGTGCTAGCTCGTTGAACATCTCTCAGTATGGCTAAGTAAAGGTGTGGTGACAACCATCAGTAGTTCGATATTAGACCACCTGGTCCAAAGCGACCGGCCACAAAGCAAGCCGACATTGAAGAATCATTCTCTATCATCTACCGGCTATCAAACAAATTGCTGAAAACATCGAGTTACCACATGTTCCAAACAGCAGAGGCTATTACGATTTGCGTGGAATTACCAGTGATTTATTTGCGAAAGATCAAGTCCAGATAGCCACTACTACTGCACTGGCCGGCCTTCAGTAAAGACTATAAATACCTAATCTTACTGATATTCATTCAGAGTATTGTTATGTTGATGCTATCGAACTGTAATCCATTGATATTATTATTATTATCGATTCGATGTTATTTAAGCAACGTTAATGTTGTTAATAACACTAATTCATTCACTAATATGTATGTATAACTGCAGATGCTGATGAAGAGCAGGTTATTGCAAAGAATATTCTTTATTCACTAACCGTTCTTTTGAAAAATTGTAATGGGCATTTTTAATCAGTTAGAGAACCATTGAAAACCAGCCGGTGAGTAGTGGATAGCTGTTTCGTCAGCCTGGTTTCGGACTCATCGGAAGTGCGTACACAACATCGCGGTTCGAACCCAGGACCTACCGGTTAATACTCAAGCTACCTCGTAAATCATTTAGTCACTAGGACACTACTCAGTGGTAGATACTGGCCAGCAATGGCATTGGCTGGCTAGTGCCAGTACCTGGAACGTGTTTATTTCAAACCCAGGTGGTAGGTGTGTACTGTACTGCCCCCTCGTTGAAGTCATGCTGGATGATGTTTTCTAACACGTTTTGATAAGATCCGCATAGAACGACGTATGTACCTAGCTACGCACGAGCAGGTGAACTGATATATACACACTGAAGTGGTCATATGTGGAAGTCTATACTTCACGTTGCTCCGAAGAAGTGTTCAGCTAGAGAATACCATTTTTAGAGTTGCTGCAGAAAAAGTCCTCTTCTGATAAATTGGAGATTCTCCATTAAAGGATATCTGCTGGTAGGTCTCCACTGAATTCCAGATTCAAATAAAGTGTTTTCTTTGGCATTGAAGTGCATTCTTCTCTTTTTTGGCTTTGGTTTCATGCTCTTCTCTACGAATCGTGTTGTGTATCCATTTGGAACCAGGATGCTTTTCAGAAATAAGAGCTCATCTTTTAAACAGTCGTCGCTAGAAATTCTTCTGTTACGGTGAGTGGGCTAGCGAGATGACGAGAGCTCTTTTACGGCTGATAGGTATCCAACTGTAGACGTTTTTCAGTTGATCATTCCATGTTGGTTTTCTATGGATAGGTCTTTTCGGAATTCTGTCATTTCTTCTTGTTGACTCGATGTCCAGGAATGAAATCTTCGATTCGTTTTCAACTTGTATTGTGAATTTAATTGAAGGGTGGCAGTTATTAATCTCCTGTAAGATACAATTTAAATGAGAATCATCCTGACAGACTATAAAAGTGTCATCGACATATCTTTTGTATAGCAGTAATTTGTGCATTGTTGATTTTAAGATGGCGTTTTCCAGGCTGGCCATGAAGCAGTCTGTGAAAAGTGGGCCAAGGGGATGTCGTTGAGTGTAAATTGTATGTTGAGTGTGCACCTTAATGACAGCGCTTTCAGGTATGACGTTGGTATTCCGATGCTCACATTCTTGTCATCCATATATTAGAAGAGGAAACAAATTGTGTTTATGTCACATTATCCGTCTTATTCCGCACTGAATAATACAGGTCAATATCGAACAAGACAAATAAATAGGGAAGGGATATGGGGCATAATTATATTGTCGCATTAATTTCACTTCCCAGTGGATAAGATGTCAGTTGGTCAGCAATACACAACGGAACTGAGTTTTATACACATTTGTTGGACATCTGTTTATCTTCATGAGAATAGATTCAAATCCAAATCATACAGCATTGCGGTTATACACCTAGTGCTAGGGTATTTCGGGTACAGTTGACTTTGAATAATGTTGCGCTGGACGTATTAATTCCTCATTAAAGAAGTGAATAAACCTCGATAACGAAAAAACAAAATGACACCATCTACTATAGACAACTGATAAATAGAAGACATTGACATTATTCTGTCTGGTAAATTTCAATAATATCTATACTAAGTCAGTTAGTGACTGTCTATGTGTTTATTGTGACTTCTGTAGGCTATTTCATTGACATCTTGCCTCGTCACTACTCAAAAAGTTCATTTCATTAAATCGTGGTATTTATTGTTAATGAGTCTGCAAAGGCGAGTCGGTGGCGGAGAGATAGATTGCTTGCCAGCAAATCAGGCAGTCGGTGGTTCGATCGCCGGCCGACGAACGGACTGTCAAACTTCTCTTAGCAAATAATAAGTCCGTCAAAGATGGAAGGTTAAGGATGAGACTAACAGTTCCACCCCGTAAAAATTAGACCACTGCTGTGTAAACTCCGAAGCTCTAGCTTGAACCCTATGTTCCGATGGGAATGCGAAGAAATACAACTTTAGAAATTTAAAAAATGTTTATTCAGACATCTATAAAACACAAAACAACTGAGCAAAGAATATCCTTTTCGCTAAATTCCTCTTTTAGCTCTACAGTTATATATGTATATGTTTACATACATAGAATATTCTGGAATATTCTAGTAGTCAATAGCAATATTAGTGTTTTTTAAATAATATCCATTCGTAAAGTAAGATCAGAGTGGAATTACACTTCATTAAAGATTCTTAAATTATAATAATAATAAAGATATAGTAGCAAATAGCATATCAAATAAAATTAGGAAAATTCCACAAAACGTCATCAGTTAATATTACTGTGTAACACTGTGTGACTTATCAGATTAAAATCTAATCCATAATGGAGAAAATTCAGGATCATTCAAACCTAGATGGCCAAGCAGGTAAGGATAATGTCTGAAATAACCTCTTTTGGATGCACAAATTAGGCTTATTAATATGGATCCCAACAACCTCAGCGATATTTAGTAGTCGAACTCATAAGGCAAAATTGAGATTCATTGGTATGCGGTAAATGACCCTGAAAGCTGCATGGTTAACGTCAATCTTGTGTTCTGTATCCACAAGATGAGATAAGATAGCGCTATGAATAGATTTTGTTTGTCCTTTGCTTAACCAGGCAGAGTGATGTTTGGAAATTCAACGAGAAACACGCCTAACTGTATAGACTATGTAACTGGCTTCACAGGAGCAGTTAAAATGGTAGATACACAAGGAAGAGGCGAAATTAGACAGTTTGTCTCTTACTCCCAAACGCAAAATAGGAGTGGTTTTGAAGACATGGCATAATTTCGCAGCAGAGGATGCTCTTTTTACCGCATTTCTAAGGCGGTGTGTTAGTATCTCGCTGATGTTGTCCCCAAAAAACTGTATTTGTAACAATATGGCCTTTTTTGGAACTGTTGGTACCTTGGGCTGCTTTGATTTTAGATTCATATTCTTATCAATAAACGTTTCTGGATAGCCATTTTCACTCAGCAACCATTTAATATTATTAAGTTCCTCATCAAGACATTCATCCAAGCGAATCGCCCTTGCTCTGTGAACCAAGCACTTTATCCGATTGCGTTTGTATTTCAAGGGCACAAAGCTGACAAAATGTGTGTACTGGCCCGTTGATGTAGGTTTTCTATAAACACTTCTTCTTATTGTGCCATCCTCCTTACTGGTCATAAGGACCTATAGAAATGTAATACTAGAGTCTTTTTCTTTCTCAATAGTAAAATTTATTGCAGGATGAACCTCGTTAAAAATTTATCCAGGATGTTCTTTGCATCCTTCTCATTTTTCATAATCAAAAATGTATCATCCATGTACCGACAATAGAATTCGAGTTCATTGAAAACATCCTTTAAAGCCCATTTTCTAGTTTCGCTAGGAAAATGTCGGCTAGAATGGGTCCTAGACATTTGGAGACTGTTAACACACAAACATCAGATTTTATGCTAACTCAATTTGTTTGACTAATCAGTAATCACAAATAAAATCTGACCAATCAGGTGTATAAAGACTAGAAGTTGTCTAAGTGTATATCACAGCTGACTACTTGCTCCTGTCTCTTCCGTTCTATCTAACTATGATCCGAATTGAAATAGGACAAAATCACTGGGTGACTGGTGTAATGATATTAACAGTACGCTCTAAAACAAAGTGTGAAACAGGAACTATAAGATTAAAACTTGTTTGGCAGTCACGTTTCTTAATTCAGTCATTGGAGAGTCAGACCATTTGTTTAACCCCCTGATACATATGACATTATCTCACCCCTCAATGTATGGAAGTAGTATTATTTCATGCTTTCAGAAAAAATGTGAATAAACAATCATTTTGAAACAAATCCAATTGGTTGTAAACACTTTCGACAAAATCTTGTGACTTTTATTGCAAGTGTATATATTTGTATATAAACTGATTTGTTAGAACATGCTAATGTGATATAACGATATTTGATTCTACTATGGACATATTTCTCTGCAGTGTTTTACTAGCTTTACTGCAAGCCAATCTTGGAGTTCATTCATTGTCGGATATACCGAATGGTGAACCTACGCAACCGGTAGCTGATACATTGACGCCAGTAACAACACAAAGTTCTAATCCACCTGATGATTCACAGGATAATACAGATGTACAGATGGAAGTAGCGGAAGTGCTGGCGGCTACGGGAAACACAGAAACAACAACTTCCAGTCCAGTTGAAGTGCCGGAGAAAGTGGAGGAGAAAAAGATGCCTATGCTTGGTGAGAATGAAGAATCTATACCACCTGGATACAGACAGAAAAGTGAAAATGAAACTTCAACTGAAGAATAAAGAAAACAAGAGAGCAAAGGTAAATTAATTGATGTAGTAGTGCAAACATTTCCTGAATTATACAAACCTTCAGGTGTACGTGACATCACATTAGCGTTTTATAGAACAGTAGTCAGAATTATGGAACGATTATCAGTAGCCTTCGAGAAAATATCCAACGATGTGGAGAAATTCAAGGAAAAACTGAAACCCAATAGAAGCTGAGCATACGCTGCACTGAACTGAAGTTTGTTTAACACGTTGCTTTGTGATTAAATCCAATGACTGAGTGTTTTGTAATCGTCTTTTGCTCATGAACTGTGAAACTAAGTCTCTTTTATTTATCAAATATAGTTTTCGTGGAAATTTGTGAAAATGCAATGTTTTCCTTATTATTATCATTATTGTTATTGTCTCCTTCAGTTCTTAGAGGTACATATGGCTTCAGCCACGGGTCTCCACCAACGAGTTCGCCTGGCTCCACGTCTACCCGAATGCTTTCATGTACTCTTCGAACGACCTCTTCCGCCATGTCAGTCTCGTGTTGACAACCAACTGGTCACTTCCCATTCGGGTTCCACTCGAGAGAGAGAGAGAGCCTGACGTGTGGTGTCACTTGATGGTTTGTTTTCTCAGAGTATGGCCTCCAATCCACCTCCATTTTTTCCTCAAATCGTAAAATTCTCGAAGTGTCTGAGACATCCTGGCTTACAGATTTATTCAGTAGACTACAGCGGAGCATAGTAGAGTGTGGTAGAGTAGGATTGTGTCGATCGTTTGAAAAGGGAAATAGAAAATATTTGTCATGCGAAATCAAGAATCCCCAAACTACATGATTAATTCTCCATTAATGACTTGTCTACTAAACGAAGTGTTAATGAGACCTGTGCTTTTCTTTCAGTTAGGAATCTTGTCATCTCGATTTTTGAATTATATTCAGAAAGGAGTCACAAGTTTAATTAGGCTGAGAGTTACGGTTTATCATGATTAGCAAACCTTGAGGTAATCATGGTTGTCATAAGAATAAGAATAATCACTTTATTCTAGACAACGATCATATGTTCTACTGCAAATAATTCACTCAGTTCGTAAGTGAAATCTAAAAATCTAACTCATAAATCGGTGAAGTCTGTTAACTAATACACATACATGGTCATTTGATTCATACTGCTAGTATACTCAATTCATTTGTCGTCACAATGAACTTTCAGTTTGGTGAAGGACTAAAGAAAGCGATGGATTTTACGTTCGATTTCAGGATACATTTGACGAATTTGAATCACAAACTAAAGGTATAATTCCAATCAGTATATATTTTATAGGAATAGATGTATCGGTAAATAATTCTACAGGATTATTGAAGTGCAGTTTTCATCTCCTTCGATGTGGGGTGCGGATGTTGCTTGTTTATTTCGGTTGGTTAAACTGAAGGTGTACCATTTGGCACGCTGTTGTGTTACGTTCGCTTGTTCGTAGCCTCACTGTGTAGCTAGTTAAGCAAACATCAACATGCTACAATTGTTTTCCTCTCGTATTTTAGTTGTATGGACGATTAGCCATCGGAAGAGTTGCATATGTATCCTGGATTCCATTTCTATCCACGATCAACCAAAATATCATCATGTTACTGAGACCGCAAATATTTGATTCTGTGTTAATAATACGTTACAAATTCTAATCTTCAGTATCTTTACATGTGCGTTGATGGCTAGACTGTAGAATGCCCGCAAGTCACGCATATGCTTAAGGGCTCGATTCACGGCTATCACACACCTTTATCTCCCTTAGCCAGTTCTAAATTCCACAAATAGTTGAGCCTGAGGATAGCAACCCTACGCGGTTAAACCACCCCTGTTACTGAGACTTCAAAGATCTAGTTTGGAGCCCAATATTCCTTTTACTCATTACTCGAAGGAATAAAAATAAGTATCTTCACCCGAAATTTACCTCTAACCCTCCAGTGAATGGTCAAAGGTACAATCTTAGTGTTTATTTCAGCGTCAATTAACGTTAGTCAGCGAGTCAGGAAAAATCAACAAATCCTTTCCAAAATTGTATCTGTGTAAGGCAATACACTTTGCAGAATGGAGCATGAAATCATGAGTATATAATGCTCCGAGTATTCACATCTCCCAATCAAATAAAGCATATAGAAATATAGTATGGTAGCAAGGAATGGTGATATGAGAATACTTACCCTAGTTAGACAATAGTCAGTTTATACAGTATCATTTATTGAGATAATAATGAAGCCATAAGATTCACTAAATTAAGAGAAGGTCAAGAGAATCACAGTGGATGTAGCGTCCTGACGACGAGGAGGAAAGGAGTGAAAGCTAAAACCTCACTTCGAAGGTTGACTACATTTCAACAATAATAAGGAATTCACTTATAAGGATTTCATCATGAGCCGACATCGGTTAGAGAACCACTTTTATAAAATAAATCCAATGACTGCGTGTTTTGTAATCGTCTTCATACCCATCAATATTCCATTTTCTTTCTCTATAAAACCAGCCATACATATTCGCTAGATCCTCCTAAACAAGCAGTTCATCAAGCCTCTCCTATACTCTAATGGACAGAAGCTGTGAAAATAAGGGAATTGCCTTGTCTAAGTGGGCTTTCTGGCTTGGATGTGGACTGTTAAAATTGTAAACTGAAAAGTTAGTAATCTACACTGGTCTGGTCATCTAGACGACAACCGTGAGCACACTTGGGCAGTGAGTGGCTGTTATGACTTCACCAGTGGGAAATCCCAATTAGCTGATTTTAGTAAAATGAGGAATCTGGGAAAAAGCCCAGCATTAGAATCACATTCAGTCACATATAATCATGTCACGGGATGAAAGGCATGGCAGGGACGAAATGACAGTATTAACATCTGATGTGTAACAGGATGGAGGCAGAGATTGATTATCGAATCGACTGAGAACAACTATCGTAGATATCCACAAGACTGCACTATCCTGACATATGGGAATAAAGGATGAGAGTTATATAAAAAAAGAACTTTCTCAGTGTTGCATAAGTACAACTGATATGATTATGATGTATGACATTATGTTTTATCCAAATAACAAAACGGCATGGAATTAGATACCATACCACCTGTAGTCATTTGTGAACATGTTTACTCTTCAATGAAGATTCCGTTAAGAACCAGCACCAGTTAGATAAAAACTAGTGGTGACTACCAGCAGCGTCCGACAGCAATGCCCACTATCCCCATTTCTATTAAATTTCATCAAAGAGATACTAATGGAATTAACCCTGAGTGACTTCAAAGACTCAGGGATTGACTTGTTACCAGGGTGGGGATAATCTCGTTGACACAGAATATGCAGATGATATAGTCAATTTAGATGAAGACGCTGACAAAATGTTGGGTCTTCTGAACAGCTTCAGAAGAAGTTACATCGACTGAGATGGTTAGGACACGTGTTACGCATGCCTAGCCATCACCTTCCTGGATAACAGGCAATATTAACTGACGTATCATGGATCAGGTTGGAAAAGAGTTGGCGAGTAGTGGTCAAACCAAAACATGGCTTCATCAGTCAATGAAATCCACAACAGTTAGTTTAAGCCAGCCACGTAGGGAGGGAGTTGTAGACATCCTGGTTGGGATCCTCAGGACGGTATAAACCAATGGCTGGAGAAAACTGGTGACATGGCTTAAAATCGTTCTCAATGACGGCGCAAATGCATCCATTCCTTGTAAATTGTAATTTCCAATAAAACTATACTGTTCTTTGATATTACTATTCATTTTGTCTCATATCCCTGTCTACTGTCTCTATTTTGCATTTCTTTTTACTTTCTTCTCTTGTTTTGTGTGCTACAAGATGGAAGTGTGGAGACTGGAACTGCTGAACATTTGTACTGTGCAAAGTTCTATGTTGAAACCAGTCAGTCACCAGTTAGAGAGCATTTACAATCATAAAGCGCTGAATGCCTGTTCCATCCTACCTTAGAGTTCCTCAGAAGTGCACACCCATAACCCCAGCAAGGGTTGAACCCGGAACCTTCAGGCTAACGAGGTTAGCCATTCGGTCCTCGAGAATCCAGTGAACCACGAATTTCAACTATTTCAATTCCTAATATTATAGCCCTACCCTCCATCATTGCCTTCCATCACTATCCAGTTAACCTTCACGTAGTGGGTCCTTTTGATCGCATCTTCCCAGTACAGTTTCAAAACCTCTATTCGATAGGTATCAATGAGCTAGAGACTGATATGTTTTACTTCTGATGTAACAGAGAAACAAGTATAAACTTGTGAAAAGAAGCTAAAACAATTATTTGGAAAGCTAATTCATCAAAAAGAAACTTGTTTACAATAATAAATGCACTTTATAACTTTAAAACTTTCCTTTTCAATGTTGTCAATTCTAATGAATTTTTGTTTTCTGTGTCTTCAGCTAACATTTAGTGTTTCAGATAACTGATTTCAGGTACATAGATAGTACATGTCTAAGCCTGTGTAAAAATAGAACCAATAATATTTACATAGTCTTGTATTCAATGATAGGAAGTAATGAAATCCAAAAACAAGCAGAACTTGATTATGTTGGATTTCATTCATTAATGAAGTGCATGTTCATAGTGTGAATACTGGTGCACTTTTGAGGTGTCAACATCTTTGTTATTGCTGTTATTATCAACATAACCTAGTCTAGTTTACTAGCTCACTAGTTTTGCAGCTTTTCCCTAGTCCGGGGAATGAAGGAGGGTTCGGTATGAACTAGCGAACCTACACCACGAGACCAATCATACTTCTACAGAAACTTCAACAGCCAACCCATATGTCTTCTCTTGATGAAAGCGAGAATAAGAATGGTGACGTGGATTGTGTTCGTAAAATAAGTGAGACTGGGAAGGCTGTCCGAGCCGCTGAACAAATGGGTAGATATGGTATAGAAGTGCTGAGTATCTGTGAGGGCAGATGGAATGGATGTGGACTGTCGAAGTTGTCAGGTGGTGAGTCAGTAATCTACTCCAGTCATCCAGACGACAAC